ACCCGGGTCCCCTCCCACCAGCAGTGCATGAAGCTTCCCCTTTCCTCACATACCAACATTTAGGATTATCCAGATTTCTCATTTTTAGTTAATCTTATAGTTGTAAAGCAGTATCTCTCTCTCCCTCTCTCATCTCTTTGCTTTAATTTGATTTTTTTCTCTGATTACTAATGAGGTCTGTTTCTCTTTATATACTTATTAGCCATTCAAGTATCTCCTCTAGGAATTGCCTGTTCCTACCCTTTGCCCATTTTTCTAATTAGTTCCTTGTCTTTTTCTTGCTGATTTGCAGGGATCCCTTGTAGAGTATTAATTCCTTTTGATCGTAAACATTGCAGTATCTTTTCCCTGTCACCAGCCAGTTACCTTTGTCTACAGCATTCTCCTAGGAACAGAAAATCCTAATTTGTCAAATACATTATTTTTTAAATTTCATTTGCCTCTTGACTTGTGCTTTTAGACGCTTAAGAAGTACTCTTGGGGAGCCTGGCTGTCTCAGTCAGAAGAGCATGCGACTCTTGATCTTGGGGTTGTGAATTTGAGCCCCATGTTGGGTGTAGAGATTACTTAAATAAATAAAACTTAAAAAGAAATACTCTTACCTATCTTATCAATTCCTTTACTGGTTTTATCTTTCCCATTTAGGTATTTAGCATAGCTGAAATTCACCTTTATATATAGCGTAAGGCAGGGATACACTTTTTCTCTCCATAGTAAGCCAATTTCCCAATAACATCTGCGTAGCAACATCCTTTCTCGACACTGAATTGCGATTCCACCTCTATCAGACTTAAAGTTTTATATGTTTATAACACATAATTGTTTCTGGTCTCTCAGTTCTGTTCCATTAGTTTGTTTTCTAGTTCCTTCCTGCCTCAGCACCTCAATGCTTATTACTGTGGCTCAGTAGTATGTCTTACTATCTGGTAGTCGAAGTGTCCCTTCTAGATTTTCTTTTCAAAATTGACCTCGCTATTGTAGATCTTTAGTCTTCCCTGCATCGTAGAAGTATTTGAGTTCTTCAAAAATACTTACTGGACTTTCACTGGAATTGCGTTGGATTTTATTAATATGGGGAGAATTAGATTTTTCAAACATTGAATCATATTATCCATGAACACAATTTTATCTCTTCATTTATTCACATTCTTAAATATCCTTGAATAGAATTTTCTAAATTTCTTTTCTAAATTTCTTTTTTTAATGTTTATTTGTTTTTGAGAGAGAGAGAGTGAGTGGGGAAGGGAGAGGGACAGAGAGAGAGGGAGAGAGAGGATCCGAAGCAGGCTCTGCACTCACAGCAGTGAGCCTGATGCGGCGCTCAAACTCACAAACCTGAGATCATCATGACCTGAGCCGAAGTCAGATGCTTAACTGACCGACCACATGCCCTAAACTGCACTTTTGGTCTTATTTTCCCCTCCCCTCTCCTTTTTTTAGTTGAATGACACTGTAGCAGAAGAATGCTATTGGTCTTTGTAAGTTTTTCTTATATCTGGAAATCTTGTTAAATTCTCCTGTTAATTCTAATAGTGTTCCTCTGCATTTTACTGGGTTTTCTGTAAAAATATCATCTCCACATGCTGGTAGTTTTGTCTCTTCTAATCCTTCTATCTCTTCTTCCTCTCTTCCTCTCCTTCCTTCCTTCCTTCCTTCCTTCCTTCCTTCCTTCCTTCCGTCCTTCCTTCCATCATATTGCATTAGTCAGCACCTCCAATACTTTTTTCTCCACAGCAGTGGTGACAGTATTGTTGATGTTCTTGAGACTTAAAGGGAATGTATCTAAAGTTTTTCTGTTCAGCATGTCTCATGTGGCTTTTTTGTAGATAGCCTCTATCAAGTGAAGGAAGGTCCCTTCTTCTATGCTTGGTTTTTTTGAGAATTTTATTCACAAGCAGGGATCTCATGTTATCAAATACTTTTTTTTTTTTTTAATTTTTTTTTTTCAACGTTTATTTATTTTTGGGACAGAGAGAGACAGAGCATGAACGGGGGAGGGGCAGAGAGAGAGGGAGACACAGAATCGGAAACAGGCTCCAGGCTCTGAGCCATCAGCCCAGAGCCTGACGCGGGGCTCGAACTCACGGACCGCGAGATCGTGACCTGGCTGAAGTCGGACGCTTAACCGACTGCGCCACCCAGGCGCCCCTCAAATACTTTTTAAAAAACTATTAAAAAAACTGTTAATATGTGATTTCCCCTCCTTGACCCCATGAATGTTATAAATTAAAACAACAGATTATCTGATGTTGAATCCTCCTTACATTTCTAGGATAAAGCTTACTGGATTGTGCTGTATTATGTTTAATTTGCTTTTAACGAATTAACCATGTCACCTTCATTTTCAGATTCATCAAAGTATAAATAGTCCTGATATTCTTTTTACCATTTTTTACTATTTCTTAAATAGTACGATTTCTTAAAAAGTAAATATTGGTATAGTTATTTCTCTTTCTTCACTCCGATTTTATTTGCATTTCCTGTTTTTGTCAGTCTTGTCAGAAGTTTGTCTCTCTTATTTGGTCTTTTTAAAGAACCAGCTTTTGATGTGATGTCTCTAAAACATTTTACAGCTGTCCCATCTCTGTAAAGCCTGTATGATGCAGTGAAGGGAAGACTCTGGAGTCAGAGAGACTTGAGTTCAAATCCCTGTTCTGCTACGTGCTGACTGTATGACCTTCGGCACATTATTTAGCCCCTTTGCATTTTCTTCCTCATCTGTAAAATGAGAACAGTCCTCCTCATTGTGAGGATCAATTTAGAAAATTTACTTAAAGAGAGGCGGCTAAGTGGCTCAGTTGGTTAAGCGTCCAACTTTGGTTGAGGGCATGATCTCACGGTCCATGGGTTCGAGCCCCACGTCGGGCTCTGTGCTTGCTGACAGCTGACAGCCTGGAGCCTGCTTTGGATTCTGTGTTTCCCTCTCTCCCTGCCCCTCCCCCACTTATACTCTGTCTCTCAAAAGTAAGGAAACATTAAAGAAAAAAAATTTTTTTTAATTTACCTAGGGGCGCCTGGGTGGCTCAGTCAGTTGGACGTCCAACTTCAGCTCAGGTCATGATCTCCCCGTTTGTGAGTTCGAGCCCGGCGTCAAGCTTGGTGCTAACAGTTCAGAGCCTGGAGCCTGCTTCAGATTCTGTGTCTCCCTCTCTCTCTGCCCCTCCCCTGTTTTTGTGCTCTCTCTCTGTCTCTCAAAAATGAATAAATGTAAAAAAAACAATTAAATTTACCTGAAGCATCTGGAATTGTGCATAGCATATTGAAAGTGTTCAGTGATGTTAGTCTCTGTCTTCAGTGCCTTTGTTTATGCTGTGTTTTTTGCCTGAAATGCCCACTTTGTAGGCTTCTGCTGGCCCACATGGAAGTCTTGTGCAGATTAGGAAAAGGTGTCCCTTCCTCAGCAGGCACATCTTCCACTCACTCTGTCAGCCCAGAGCCCGTGTGCAGTGCACAACCTGCGTACCCATGCACGGCAGCTCTGCCCACTTGCCTGCTTGGTTTTCCTCCCGGTTCATTTCTCATTGTTCCCGAGGCTGCCCATTCTTCAGGTTTCAGCCTCCTTGATGAAGCCTTTCTTCTCCCTTGGCTAGAAGTAATCGTGCAATCTCTTTCCTTCCCTGCCTCCCTCCGCCCCTCCTTCTCCCCTGCCCCCACCAACTTTGAACTCACATCACATGTCATTTGTACATCTCTTAAGGCATTTATCTCATTTCGCCTCATGTTTTAGTTATTTTGTGCAAACGTCTTATCATTCGAGGGGATTAACCCCTTGAAGTTAGGGATTATAATTTGTCTTTAGATCCTCCCTCTGCCTGTGAAGCTCAGTAAATGTTAACTGACATGGATGATTGAGTATGAAATGTAGGAGCTGAGAATAGTCTTAAATAATATTGTGTGAATGGTGTGATGGGGACGGGGGGATGGTCTCTAGAGGCAGAGGGAATGGTAGAGCGCATGTGTGAAGGTGGTGGGATGAAAGGTACTACTCATTGAGCTTACCATGGGCCAGTACTGTGCTAAGTGCTCTCATGGTTCATCTCCCTAAGCCCTCACAGCAAGCCTTAGAGGCAGGAGCTAGTATTAGCTGGGGCACTGATGAGTCAGTGGCGGAGCTGGTACACTAGGCCTGTTCTGTGTGACTTCAGAGTTGGGGCTTTCAATTATGACTGACAGACTCCCTCAACCACACAGTGATTACCATTTATTTAGGACTTCCTACATACCAGGCACTGTGTTTGATGCTTTATGGATGTCATCTCTAATCTCCATGGCAGATGCGTAAAGTACAGGGTACAGGATATCCCCACTTTGCAGATGAGGAAACAGAGGCTCACCAAGGTTAAGTGACTTGCCTCAGGTCACAAATATAGGAAGTTGTTATAACCAGATCTCTTGACCCCAAAGTATGCCCTTTCCCCTGCTTCACACACACAGTGCTTGGGGCCAGCAAGAAAACCCCGCAGCTGGTGAGGAGAAAGGTTTGCATAGGAAAATGGAGGAAGCTAAGGTTAGAAAGGGAGTTCTGCCTTGGGCCACAGAAGGCCTCACTTTCCAGGACTAGCTTTTAGAAACCAAGAGTCCTGGGCTGTGACCTTGACTCAGGGGTCGTGTCGCATGACCTGGCCACTTGGAGGCCAGGGGAGGTTGAGCTACCTGGAGCCCTGCCTGGATCTGCACCAAGGGGAACATAGAACTTCGCACAGCTATAGGGAGATCAAAACAAACCAGGCCTGCAAGGAGGTGGGTGTGAAAAGATCTACAGTCCATCTCGTGCCTCTCAGTGACCTCGTCTTCTTCCGCCTGCTTGTTTCCCTAGGTCACTAGGACCATCTCTCCTCAGCCTCCTAGATTGCCCTGATCTGGCTTCAGAAAAGCTGCCGGAGAATGCCCAGGGTGGGATGGTGGAGATTTGTCCAAGGAGAAGTACAAGTAGCACAGCCTGGACCCCCAGGCATTTCTCAGAGCAGAGAGCCCATCTCCGGGCTCTGACGTGCTCAGAGATGGGTAGGGACATGGAGAACCCAGGAGTGGTGCAGATGGGGTATTTGACTCTTGGCCACCAGTTACCCAGGCCCCGCTGGTCCTCTCTGGGCCACACTGTATCCCTGTAGTTGTGGAGTCACCACGTGCCTCACCAGTGCCCTTCCACATCCAGGTCATTGCTGTGGTCATGGACCTCTTCACTGATGGTGATATCTTCCAAGACATCGTGGATGCTGCGTCTAAGCGTCGGGTCCCGGTGTATATCATCCTGGATGAAGCAGGCGTAAAGTTTTTCCTGGAGATGTGTCAGGGCCTGGAGCTTGCTGACTACCGTATTCGGGTAAGTTGTACCACGGGGGTAAGGGTGAAGGGTGGGGAGGAAGGGCAGGAGGTGAGATAGAGACTGCCTCTCTCTCTTCCTCTACTTCTTCCCCAGTTCAGGGACACAGATGAACATCAAGACCTCAACCCCTTTCTTTCTGTCTAAAGCCTTGCCCTGTGAATTGATAACCCTAAATTATATGCCCAGCTTAAATTTTATCTCAAGACGGTTGAGGCTAAAGAGGCAGCTCTGGCCCAGTCCTGGGGAGCTCACGCTGCAGAGTCACTGTCAGGGTCAAAGCTAGGACTGTAATTCTCTTCTGGGGAGCTTTTGGAACAGGAAGGAACTACTCTGGGCTCATCTATATTCAAAGCAAGATTTGCTAATTTCCTCCTGCTCTTCAAATGGGGTTCCAGTTCTAAGGCTGTAGAAAGTAGAGTCTAGTATAGACAGGAGTCAATAGGCAGGGTTCCATGAACAAGAGGGTTCTTTCTCTGCCCACACAAAACCTCAGAGGTCCCCAGCCTGAATGACAGTGCCTTTTTCTTCTCAACAGAACATCCGTGTCCGCTCTGTGACAGGTGTTGGCTTCTACATGCCCATGGGGAAGGTCAAGGGGACCCTGTCATCAAAGTTCCTAATGGTAGATGGTGAAAAAGTAGCCACTGGATCTTACAGGTGAGTTGGGCCAAGACAGAGAATGGTCCAGGAGGTCTTTTTTTGTGGAAATATACAATGTGGAAGACTGGGCTGGAGTCTCCATAGTCATGGGTTTAAGACATATTGTCTGATCTAATGACAAGAGCCTCCTGGCCAGTCCCTTCCTTCAAAATTTCTGGATACTGGATTATTCCAAAAAGAGGGTCAACTCTTACTGGGCATCAAGAACGGTCTGCCTTTCATGGTCCACAGCAACGGGTTGCATTTTGAGGCTAGTTGTTGGGACAAGTAGGAAGCAGAATGGACCAGATCTGGGAAAGAAATGTGAGGGTGTGGTCTCTTTTGCCCAGGCCCGTGGTACCAGCAGGATGGGTAAACGTTGCAGTCTTCATTCTGCCAGGAAGCTCCATAGCCACCAACGGAGATCAGAAGTGACACTGTGAACAGGACAAAGAAGCCCACTTGGGCACAGCCCTGAAGGCCAAGCCTTTGCAGGTGCTTCCCACGTAAAGGGAATCGTACTGGGAAAAGTAAGGGTTGAAGCCAAGTAGCCAAATTCTGCCATCAGGAAGTATGTCAGGGTCCATTTGGTCAAGAATGGCAAAAAAAAAAAAAAAAAAAAAAAAAAAAAAAAAAAAAAAAAAAAAAAAAATCACAGCCTTTGTGCCCAGTGGTAGTTGTTTGAATTTTATTGAGGAAAACGATGAGGTTCTGGTTGCTGGATTTGGTCGCAAAGGTCATGCTGTCGGTGACCTTCCTGGTGTTCACTTTAAGGTCATCAAAGTAGCCACTGTCTCTCTTTTGGCCTTTACACAAAGGCAAGTAGGAAAGACCAAGATCGTAAGTCCTGCTAGTGAAAACATGACAATAATAAATTTTCCCAGGGGGTACCTGGGTGGCTCAGTTGGTTGAGCGTCTGACTATGGCTCAGGTTATGATCTCACCACTCGTGAGTTCAAGCCCCACATCAGGCTCTGTGCTGACAGCTCAGAGCCTGGAGCCTTCTTCTGATTCTGTGTCTCCCTCTTTCTCTGCCCCTCCCCTGCTCATGCTCTCTCTCTCTCTCTCTCAAAAATACATAAACATTAAAAAAATGTTTTTTTACTTTTCACATGCCAAAAAAAAAAAAAAAAAAAAAAAAAAAAAAAAAAAAAGGTAAGGGTATGGTGTGGAGGCAATGTCTCCCAAATTCTGATTCAGAAATAAATTACCAGGAACACGAGAGACTATATCTCAGCAGTCTTTGCCCTCCAAGTGTACTAAAATCTGGGTGAGGAAAGAGACCTGGGCACAGGAAACAATCAACAAATGTCATAAGTCCTCTTACATGGTTAAAGTGTAGTGGTTTGCAGACATTAAGTGCTCTAAAAACCTAGAGAGGAGCCAATCATGGGATTATTGGAATGATATTAAAAATAGCAGCAGCTCCATTATCACTTATTAAAATGTGTGTGCCAGGGACTGAACTAAATGTTGTCTACATGGTATCACACCTGAGCCTCACAGTACCTTTGTGACTGTATGTCCTATGAGCCCCACGTTACAAGGCATACAAGGGTAGAAACCAGGTTGGTGGGAATGCAAACTGGTGTAGCCACCCTGGAAAACAGTATGGAGACTCCTCAAAAAAGTTATAGAACTACCCTATGACCCAGCAATTGCACTATTAGGTATTTATCCAAGGGATACAGGTGTGTGGTTTCAAAGGGGCAGGTGCACCCCAATGTTTATAGCAGCCCTATCGACAATAGCCAAGTATGGAAAGAGCCCAAATGTCCATCGACAGATGAGTAGATAAAGAAGATGTGGTGTGTACATATACAATGGAATATTACTCAGCAATCAAAAAGAATGAAATCTTGCCATTTGCAACTATGTAGATGGAACTAGAGGGTATTATGCTAAGCAAAATTAGTGAGAAAAAGACAAATATACGACTTCACTCATGTGGAATTTAAGATACAAAACAGATAAACATAAGGGAAGGGAAGCAAAAAGAATATAAAAACAGGGAGGGGGATAAAACATAAGAGACTCTTAAATATAGAGAAAAAACTGAGGGTTGCTGGAGGGTTGTATGCGGGGGGAATGGGCTAAATGGGTAAGGGGCATTAAGGACACTTGTTGGGATGAGTACTGGGTGTTATACGTAGGGGGTGAATCACAGAAATCTCCTGAAATCATTATTGCACTATATGCTAACTAACTTGGATATAAACTTTAAAATATAAATAAATAGATAGGTAATTAAATAATTAAATGATTAAATAAATAATATGTATCTAGGGGCGCCTGGGTGGCGCAGTCGGTTAAGCGTCCGACTTCAGCCAGGTCACGATCTCGCGGTCCGTGGGTTCGAGCCCCGCGTTGGGCTCTGGGCTGATGGCTCAGAGCCTGGAGCCTGTTTCCGATTCTGTGTCTCCCTCTCTCTCTGCCCCTCCCCCGTTCATGCTGTGTCTCTCTCTGTCCCAAAAATAAATAAACGTTGAAAAAAAAAATTTTTTTTAAATAAAAAAATAATAATATGTATCTAGGAAAAAAAAAAAAAAAGAAACCAGGTTGGAATCCAGGCCTGACTTCCCATGCCCTTGCCTGCTTTCTGCATTTGAGGCCAAGACCTGGAAAAGAGGGAGGAAGGATGTGGGTCGGTAGAGGGAGAGCACCCCAGCGAGAAGGCCAGGAGCTGTCTCCCACCGGCCAGCAAGGCATCTGGCCTCAACGGTAGATCAGGTTGGGGCAGGGGCAGTGGGGTGTTGAGAGGGACTGCCAAGGGACTGCTGGCAGGGTGAGGCCACGGGCTGGGCCTACATGTCGTGTTTTTCTGTCCCCACGTTCCCAGGTTCACCTGGAGCTCCTCCTACGTGGACAGGAACCTTCTCCTCCTCCTGACGGGGCAGAACGTGGAGCCCTTTGACTTGGAGTTCCGGGAGCTGTATGCCATCTCTGAGGAGGTGAACTTGTACCAGGAGCTGAGCCTGGCGGGAGGTGCCGGGAGGCTCAGCCCCAACTACTCCTCCACCGTGGCTCGCAAGCTGATTAACCCCAAGTACGCCCTGGTGGTTGGCAGCCGCCATCCGCCGGGCGAGATGATGCGCTGGGCCGCCCGGCAGCAGCAGGAGGCGGGGGGCGACCCCGAGGGGCAGGAGGAGGGCAGCAGAGGCGGCGAGGCGGCCCGGCGCCTGGAGAACTTCCTGAGTGACCTGGTCACGCTGGAGCAGGTGCTGCCCCCCGTGGAGCCCGTTCCCTCTGGAGAGCTGATTCGGAAGGACGGCAGGGCTATCTCCCACCTGCACATGGACCTGAAGCCCAAACCCCGTGAGGCGCTTGTCCGAAACGGCAAGGGAGAAGCCGCCAACGGGGAGGCCACTCCAGCCAAGGAGGGCAAGCGCTTTAGCAACAGGTTCTTCAGTCGCCGGGCCAAGAGGCCCACGGCACCCAATGGCACAGCCAGCTCTCTCTCCACCGAGACCTTTGCGGAAGTGGAGTTTGTGCCGGGGAAGAAGTCCAACGAGGGCTCCAGCGCTGACATCTCAGGTGAGCCCTCTGCCCTCTGCCCTGTGCCCTGTGCCCGGTGCTCCCCGGGCCTCTGGGCCTCGTCCGGGAGCGGCGCCTCCCATCTGCGGAAAGGCAGCTTGCTGTATGCAGAGAGCGGGAGCTCTGAGGCCAAGACGGTCCTCAGTTCCCACCCGACCCTGGCCTTTCTCTGCCTTGTGATGGTGAGCCTACCACCACGGGCCCGGGGTCACGTCCTCTTGTCTAAAAGCCGGGAGGGCACCTGCCTCGCTCGGCCGTTCTGAGGACAAAGTGCTCAGAGCAGTGCCGCACGTGGAGTAGTCTGAGAGCCGGCGTTTCTAGTACTGGAGGCTCGGCAACTTTCTCCTCTGTCAGGGAAGAAGCAGGCACAACGCAGCTGAGTGGCCTGACCCACGCCTGACCTCTGCCTCTGAGTCTAGGACTCGTTCTCGAAAATGTGTTCCTTGCCAGATCACCTGTCCTCGCGATCCAACCTGGGCAGACACACCCCGCCCTCCCTGTGCCCACCAATGCTCTGACCCACTTTCCTCCTTTCTGTTTTAAACAGTTCGACTTGGTTCTTCCCTGTGCTTATTTGATTAGTGGTGTTTGCCATGCTGCTTACATTTGGGAGAGATCGTTCCTGCTGGCGGTGTCTCTCTGGGATCCCCTAGAGGTCTGGGCCTTCATCTTTCTCCACAGCAGTCTCCGGTATGGCCTTTCCAGAGGCTGGTGGTGACAGCCGGGACCGCTGCTGGTACCTTTTCTCATGGGAGCGTCTTTGAGTCGAAGGGGGCTCCATGTTGGGATTTCTCCTGTGGCCGGGATTTCTCACTGCAGCAGTGAGCCTGGCCTCCCACCTGGCCAGGTAGCTGATGGTGGGATCTTGCCCTGGGCGGCCCGAGTGCTTCCAGGACTCCTGTGCCCCCCACACCCCCAGCTTTGACCTGTTTGTGGCTTCAGTGTAAGAGTCACAGCTATCTTCCCCTCTGCTGATTCCCCCACCCTGCTACAGAAACTGACACTCAGTCTGTGGTTCTTAAAGTTAAGACAGGCCCGGGAGTCTCTACAAATTTGGGGCACAGCAGGAACGCTAGTGCCATACTTCCACTTGGCTGGGAAGCATTTATGGGGCACCTGCATGTGCCAGGCCCTTCGCTAGATGCTTTCTCTCTCACTTGGCCCTCACAACAACCACAGAGGGGGCTGGCGGAAGCTCGGACAGGTGAATTAGGTGGTCCCAGGGCACAGTAAGTGGTAGTGGGGCCAGGACTCAAACGCAGGCCAGGGCCCGTGTCCTGTCAGGGAGGGGTGGCTGCCCCCCCACACCCATCCCATTCCCTCCTGGGCTCCCCAGCGCCCCCAACACCAGATGCTTTGCTGCTTTGCACCTCTTGTTTAGAGGGAGGGTTGCCATGGTGAACACCTGGCAGGGAAGGGAGAAGGAGGGGCAAGCCCAGCCACAAAAGGGCCATTTCCCAAGTCCTAACTGGAGGTGAAGCTGGAAGTGAAGCTGAAGCTTCCTCTCCCTTCAGCCCCTCACCCTGAGGTGCTGTTTCCATAGAAACACAAGGCCCGTTGCCTTGTCCCTCCCTGCTGCCTTTCCTAAGTCTCAGCAGCCAGTTCCCCTGCTTGGAGACTTGGACGGTCACTGCTGCTGCCCTCTGAGTGTTTGCACGTGGTGCCCGGGAGCCAGCTGAGCACGTGCAAGTGCACCCTGGGGAAGCTCCTCTCCTGGGTGCCCGACACACGGCACATGGTCAGGAAGGCCCCAGGGATGCCCGGAGGATCACGCTGGTCCTTCTCTATCCTTCAGAAGAAATATGGACTGGCCTCACGCAGCCCAGCCTCTGCCCACCTGGCTGAGTATCCAGTTCCCAAGGGCCTGAAATTCAGGTTGCTAATGAGACCTTTCCTCTCCCTGCTGCTTGCTTCCCTCAAAGGCAGAGGCGAGAAGCCGGACTCCTCTCCCCAAAGGCCCTTTTATTGGCCTCCAGCCTCCCAAATGTTCAGCTGCATCTGGACTGTCTTAGTGCCTCATCTCAGGCAGAAGCTAAGTCACTTAGGACTCTGTGTACCGGAGGGTGGTGTTCCTGACGTCATGGGGCCCCCAAGGCTGGGACTAGTAATTTCAGTACTCTCGGAACGTCTCCTGGGAAGGAATCACTTTAGCTTAGGGCCCTCATCTAAGGAAAGGATCCTTTTCCTACAGTGAACATGCAGAACATCATCAGAATAGATATCAATGTGGGATCTCAGCTCCCAGCACTTTGCTCCCCATACCCTGGACATATCCTTTCCCCTCCCTGGGGCGGTTTCCTGTTCGAGAAGAGGAGGAGTTAAGGCAGGGAGGGTTTCTGAGGTCCCTTTGAGCTCCTGATTCTGACTGCTCTCTCCCTGCCAACCTCTTGTCAAGGGAGAGCCTGAGCTGATGGACAGGGTGGGTGGAAGAGAAAAATAGAAAGCTAAGTGCTGGCAGCCTGTAAAATTGCTTGGTAAGAAGTATATAGTTGTCAAACAGCATGCAAATGTTTGCAAGCCCAAGTGTGGCCCTTGGGAGAACCTTTGGAAATTCCTTCCTTTAGGTCTGGGGATCCAGGTGGGGGGGTACATGGGGTTGCAGCCCCCACCCCCTTGCCTCGTGGTGAGAAGGCTCATTGCGCCCTCTACTGGTGGAAGCTAAACTCCTTTTCCTTCTGGTTTTTCTCTCAGCTGAGACCTTGTTTCTGTGCTGGATGCACTTAGCACCTTTTCCCAAGCCTGCCACCAGTGTCCATCCAGGAGCTTGGGACAGGCCCTCTGGGCAGAGATCCCAATCTCAGGGAGCAGCATTCACTGGAGAGCCTTATTAAAACCCAGTGAGGAGGGGTACCTGGGTGGCTCAGTCGGTTGAGAATCCAACTTCGGCTCAGGTCATGATTTCATGGTTCACAAGTTCGAGCCCCACTTCAGGCTCTGTGCTGACAGCTCAGCACACCTGGAGCCTTCTTCAGATTCTGTGTCTCCCTCTCTCTGTGTCCCTCCCCCACTAATACTCTGTCTGTCTCTCAAAAACAACAACAACGACAACATAGGAGTCTCTACCACTGGCCTGGGCTCAGGAATCTGCATTTTAAACAAGTGTCCTGGGTCCATGTGGGGAGTCCCCAGAGCAGCAGATTATGATGACACTTGGACAAAGCCCTGCTCTCACGAGGCTACCAGCCTAGGAGAAGAAGTTCCAGGTGATGTCCTGGGGCCACTCCCAGCCCCTCCAGGAAGATCATTGGGAAATGGCCAACACTCTTGACCATGGTTAAGGGAAGAAAGGCACAGACGTTCCCTGAGCAGATGCTGGGTGGATACATGCTAAGTGCCTTCACACAGAATTCACAACCATCCTGCCTGATGACATCGTTTCACAGACAGGAGGTGCAGAGAGGCAAGCCTCTATGTCCATGGTCATGCAGTGAGAAAGGGCATTGTGATCTCTTGCCTCCCAGGGCCTTGCACAAAGCATCCTGGTTATCTCTGGAAAGTTAGGGTTAGTGCCATTTCCCTACATCTTTAAAGATGTTTTGGAAGGGGCCAGAGGCTTCTTACACAACGGATTGTCCCCCTGGTATCCCACCAGTGGAGAGGAAGAAGAGAGTGGCCATTTACAGCCCAGAGTGCCTCTAGGTCACCAACTTCCAAAGTCCTCTTGCCCATGCTTTTCCCATAGTTCTCTGAGGTGACTGCAGCAACAGTTGCATTTCTAGAACTCTCCTCGATTCCCGTGATTCATGCATGGGGGAGCCACCATAGCTGGCAATGTGGTCTGGTTCCTAGTGCTGTGGCTGCTGGGCTCCTGGATTTGGGACTTCAGGCTCTTCTGTGTCGCCCCCAGGAGCTGGAGGTCTCAGATATCTCTCTGGGAAATCTGGGCCCCTGTCCAAGATAGAAGGGTGGGAAAGTGCTTCTGGGGTTCCGAGCTCCATAAGGGGCCTGTGGGCCTCCAGTTCCAGGATAAGTCTACTCAAGAGCTGTCTTATGAAGAGAGAGTTTCAGAATTCAGTGTCACTCTTGAGGCGCATGGGTCATGCCCCAGCTGTTGCTGAAGGTCTGATTTGATAAACCCAAGCTTGGTTACCAGCCAGGGCCCCAACCACACAGCAAGGTGAGGGGAGCCAGGTGAGCATCCTTCGAGGAACTGATCCTGCTCAGTTCTGGAAAAGAGGCAAGCATCCTTATTCTCACCAGCATATGCCATAATCCCTATGCCCCTCCGGGTTCTCTTGGGCCTAGCCAGGGCTTTCATCACCATCTAGGTGAGTGAGGGCATGTACCTCACCTGGTCAGTATCTATTGATGCCGCTATTATTGTTAGTATTGGTCTGAACCTTTAAGTAGCTTGCCGCTGCCTGGTCATACGTTTTACTCAACAAGTACATATCTACGCAATGTCTGCTGTGTGCCAAGCACTGCTCTAAGTTCCTGATACAACAGTGAACAAAACAAGCAAAGTCCCTGCCCTTACGGAGTGAATACCGTACTAGAAAGAGAGGGGCAGAGGAGGGCAATGACCCTTTCATAAAGGGTCATTGGGAAGGCCTCTCGGACAAAGGGACAAAGGGGTATTTGAACAGAGACTTGAATGAAGGGAGGGAGACAGCTGTGTGGACATCCAGAAGACGAATCTTCCAGAAAAGGGGAATATGAAGTCCTGAAACCCATAGGGAGGTAGAGCCCACGGGTCCTTGGCTGGTGCCCCAGGTGCCTCCTCCTCCCCCACACCTACTTTCAGTCTTACTACAGTGTTATCTCCCTTTGAAGTTTGACCTTCCCTTTGGGCTGCCCATGGCCGTTCATGTTTTCTTCCCTGTGAAGCTGAGCAGGTCTGATTCTCCCCAGTGTCGCCGAACACCTGCACGTGGTGGGCTCTTAGTCAATGGGCACTGAAGGAATGACACTGAAGGAATGACGGAACACGGAGAATTCGCCCTCAAAGCAATTTCTCTGTCCGAGGCCGGCGAATGAATCCTGTGTCCAAAGAACCTCTGCAGGCATCTGTCAGCTTTCTGGAACGAGTGGGAAGCACACCCAGGCAAACTTGGGCTGTCGCCCCTGCCGCTCCCGGCTTCTCTGAGCAGGAGGGCAGGAGCGGGGGCAGAGCTCAGTCTTAGGAAGCAGGCTCCTCTAAGCCACACTCCTGCCCCTGCTTCCTGATGCAGGGATCGATCCACTTACCTGCCTCTAAAATGCTGCCGCCTCAGGGGAGGAACTCAGCATCTGCTCAGTAGGCCAAGCACATAAAACAAGCCACTGCGGAGAGGAAGCCGGGATGGCTGTGTCCATTGCCGCAGCAAGGGGACTGCGGGACAGCAGCAGTAATCACTTGGGCAGAGCTGCATCAGACGCGACCCGGCTCAGAAGATGACCCATGCTCCTTGACCCTTGGAGCCCTCAGGGAGGGGGCGGCACAGTTGTCCTGCTCCCCTCCCTCCTCCTCTAAGCCTTAAACGCCTCAGGCTTGGTCTCCAAGGAGGCCAGGCAGGACCTGTAGCAAGTCCTGAGGAGTGAGTCCAGTCCACACAGACCAGGTGGTGGTTAGCCTGGGAGCGGGTGGGTGGGGGGAGGGTTTGCTGCAGTCGAACCTGTTCAGTGTCTCCCTTGCTAATGGCCCAGAGAGGAGGCAGCCGCCACCTTAATTAAATTCACAGCTGGAGTGATCTGGGAAGGTGGTGTGAACGCAAGGGAGGTGACCCTTGCAGTGTAGACAGGGACCGGCAGGAAATAACTCAGCAGCTCCCACCTGGGAGGAAGACAGCCAGCGCCCCTGAGGACAGAGGCCACCTCGGAGGCCAGGGCTGCCTCCCAGCTCCCTGCTTCCCCCGCAGCTCCCACAGCAGAAATCCAGCCAAAGGAGCCCCAGGCCTCTGCTTGGGATTGTAAAGAAAGCAAAAATGGCTGGAAGGGGGCTGGGAGAAACGGGCTTCTCTGGCCAGGAGAAAAACAGCATTCTCTCCCCCTTTCCCCTCGGTGAAGTGCGCTCCCTTATCCTCTGTTCTCAAAACCACCCCTCTGAGCCTGTGGTCTGTGCCACGGTACCTGGCTCCCAGTCAGCCTGCTGACCCTGGTGGCCCCTTCCCGGGACGCCTGCTCAGTGGCAGGAGCTGACGCTGGATGTGGAGGGCTGTGGCGGCTGCCGGCCCTGACTGACTCCGGGAGCTGGTGGCCCCCCGTCCCTCGCTGTAAGACAGGGCTAATGCTACCTTCTCCAAGTGCAGCCGCCCAGGCGGGATTACCCGAGAGAACGACTGGTTGTGCTTTGTAAGCTGTGAGGCTGCATACAGTATTAGCTTCTGGCAAACTGCCTCTTGGAGAGACTTTTAAGTCATTGACTGTAGCTGTGGATTAGGGTTCTGGATCCTTCCCCCGCCCCCACCGCTGAGGTCAGGAGATGGCAGATCCCTTTGATATCCCAATCAGTGACAATCTAGCTGAGACGACCAGACCGGGAGAACCTTTCCTTTTGCTTTCCTGGGGGTGGGGGGGCCCTACTGATTCCAGATCAGCAGCTTGGCAGGGAGACAGTGACCCCAGCCCCTAAATTTGAGGCTTGAGCTTTGCACAGGAGAGGAGTGGGAGGCGAGTCTGCTGAGCGCTTCACTTAACGTCCTCCTTCGCCTGTGTCCCTTGTCTCTGCAGGCAAAACGAATCCCAGTCCTTCCAAGGCCAGCAATTGCGTGATCTCCTGAGCCACAGAGGCCAGCAGTGGGCAGGACCTGTGGATGCCCCAGCCCTGTCCTATGGAGAATACAGGTCAAACCCTGCGCCAGTTTGCACTTCGGACCCTTACTTGCTTCCTGCCCAACAGCCTCCATCCTGGCCTCAGGGACCCTCAATCCCAGATGTGAGAGTCGGCAGCACATCAAGACAATCACACGCCACCGCCGTGAGACTGTCGGCCGCTGGGCAGGGGTCACTCCTTCTTGTTTACATGAAGTGGAAGCTTGACTAATGTCTGCTCTCCTTTATGCCAGACCCCCTCCCTCCACTGGGCCAGCCTTGCCCTGCAGGTCCCCAGAGGGGTGAGCCCAATGCGATAGGGTCTCCAGGGCAGCCCCAGCCCCCTAACTTCTCCTTCCCCGGGCTTCCTGGTGCTTCTGGTCCCCCAAGAGGCTTGGTGGGATATGAGGGAAGAGGATGGAGCTCTGAGCCAGGGAGCCAGTCTTCCCCAAGTCTCTGAACTCAGGGTGGAAGGGGCAGCTAGGGCAGCCGGGGCACCGGCCGCTGTCACCTTCCCAGCCTGGTTCCTGCAAGGCTCCCGTACTAGACCCAGAGTGACATGAGGGGAAGGCCTCTCCTCAGCCAGTGCCAGGATCTGACTCTGCCATTCAGAGGGCTCTTGTACTGAAGTCTCCTTCCCCTCCCTCCCCACTGTCTTAGCAGTCTCCGCGCCAGTGGTCCAGACCTCCTTGGCTATTGCCTGCTGCAAGCACATACGGGGGTTCTTCTAGTGCCTTTAGCTGGGGCTGCTGCTTCCCTTTAATGTGACTTGATTTGCAGCCCAGGGCAGGGAGAGAGAGCTTGGTTGGGAGTGGGAGGCTCAAGCAGTATGGGAGGTTGAGCCCTGCAGACAAGAGCATTTGTCCTTTCCCCCACCCCTGAGATAGCCCTCAGCCCCCTTCACCAGCCAGTGTGCCTGCTCTAGTTACATTCCAGGCAAAGACCGGCCTTCGTCTCCTGCCAAAGGACAGGCTGCATTTAGGAGCCTTAGCCTCCCCTCATTGCCACAACATCGGCCAGGGACAGCAGCCTAAAGTCGCACATTGCCCCCTCCCCACTTGTGTGACTGATGGGGTCTGAGGAGAGATTTCTGGAATGGACAACAGAGAAATCGCCAAACTTCAGGCTCTGAGAGCCGACTGCTGGGGGGCCCTAGCCACAGGGGGGGCGGAGGGGCCCGCATCGCCCAGTGGAAGCGCCCCCAGGTGGCCTCTTTCAGCCTCTTCTGAACCAAACTCTTGTCTTTGTGTCTTTCCTTCTGCAAAAACCCTGGGGCACCAGCAGCACCTGGGGGAGGAGCCCAGATGCTGGCTTGAGGGAGGGCACTGGGGGCACTGAGGCAAAGCAGGAGGTGGGATGGCCCAGTGCAGTTGTTGGAGAACCTGGCCTCTTGTGGTAGGAGGGGAGGGAACAAGGAAAGGAAAGGTGAGCCTGGTTCCCAGGGGCTCCTCTCTATCTTGAGGCTAGTTTCTAGGGTGTTGGGTGGGGGGGCAGGGGATCCCCAACCCACCTCCCTGAGCTTCTATGAGGATTAAACACTTCCTGGGAAGTGCTGGCAATGTGGCACGTGCTTGTTCTGGAGGGGAAGGAAGGGAGAGAGGAAACCGGGGGAGTGGAGGGTGGTGGTAGGGGGAAAAGATCGCCCTTGGTGGGGAGAGTAGACGGCCTCTGGGGACAAGGCAGGAGGCCCGGGGAAGGGACCAGCTCCTAAGGGCTCTTCCCAAGGGCTTCCTGTCTGTGCCCAGCCCCCCACAAGACAAGCTGGCCTACGGCACCCCTTCCCCTCTCCTGACCCAAAGTGGGCCCTGTTCTTTCCCAGGCCTGACATGTGGGAGGATCCACACTGGAAACTCCCAGTCACTGCAGCCTCGAGCCCGGCCTGCCCTTTCTGCCTCAGTTTCCCCACGTGCCAAGACGGGATCTTCTCACTTTCTTCATAGGCATGGAAGTAGGAGAGCATGAGGAAGCACCACCGTATAGTGGGCGGAGGGCTGGCGGCTGAGGCGGGACACCTGCCTCCACCACGGCCTGTCTCCTCCTCCCCTTCGGAGGTTTGGACAAGATGGCCTCTGAGCCCCTCCGGCTGTGAGGGCCTTGGAACGAGACAGCAGTCCAAAGATTGCTGGGGATCTTGAAGCACTAAAATGAGGCTACTGGTGTTCGCTCCTCTGCCCAGTCCCGGCCCACTCTCCATTCTGCCTCTGGGCTTCTGGCTTTTAGTACATCTGCCGTCTGCTCCAGCAGTTGCACACACTTGGCGACGTATTCTCCCTCTCTCCTCACATCTCGAGGATACATCTGGCATTCTCAGATGGATGATAAGTTCAAGGGTGGATCATGCCCTTGGTACCCACGCTGCAGCATTCACAGGCCTGGTCACGTGGGAGGGGCAGGGATGAAACAGGACTCTCGGTATGGGGCCCTCCCACACGCCCCCCCCACCACCAACTTGCCCACTCTGCGTCCAGTTTCCGTAGGCTGAATGCCAACAACTGACACAGCTCCTTGGGCACGCTGACCTCTGATGAGCAGAGGCAGCTGAGGACCGAGACCCTGGGGTGGCTGCCACCTGGATCCTGCCACGTGGGAGCAGGGAGTACAGGACCCCTGCGCAGGGCTGAAGGCCCCCCCTTGAGAGTCGGCAAAACTTCCCAGTCTCCTGTGCCATGTGTCCCCTGGGGATGGTTAGTCCTATCCCTGGTCATTCAAGGGTGCTTTCAACACAGCCTCTCCTAACAACACTACCTCTGCCTGTGTAGAACTTAATAGAAGAGGCAAAAAAGGTGCCCTTGAAAGTGGAGAAAACAGTCCAGAGAGGGGAAGTGGGCCTTTTTTTTTTCTATGATGATTTTCATTTTAGTTTACTGAGCCCCTACTATATGCCAGTGACTGTGCCAGATGCTTCAGTCACCTGCAGGCTTCAAACTAAGAAGAGCTCAGGAAAGAGCCCTGTTGCAAAAACGTTTTCCTGGGCATTTGGGGCTTGAGCTTCCCAAAGTCGTGTGATGAGCAGCCCGGGCCTTAGTCCCATTTTTCAGATGAGGAGGTACATGGGATTGCCATGTCACCTAAAATGCAGATCTAAGCCTGCTCCTCTAGCTCGGGGCTTCTCACCTTCAACACTGGGGACACTTTAGAGCCACAAAATTCTCCATTGGGAGAATGACACATTGCAGGACGTTTACAGCACCCCTGGCTTCTATGTACTAAATGCCAGTAGCACCTCTCCTCATGAGACTACCAAGAATGTGTCCGGACGTTGCCAACTGTCCCCGGGAGGTGAAGTCACCCAGTTGAGAAAGACTGCTCTGTGTAGCCTTAATGCCCAACGGGCTGCTTCTCTGACGTGCTTTCGTGTGCATGCCCCTATAAAGCAGTTGCCTTTGTTTGCCAGAACGCCCTGGCCCAGAGAGGTGGGTTCATTTGCCAAAGATTTTCCTTTCTGTGACCGACATGTATCTTCTATCTTTGTTCCCGTTACCTTGCTTAGCTCCTCACTGCCTTGTGCTCCCTGGAACAGGTGTGTTTATGTGCGCACATCTGCCTCACTCCACAGAGCACCCCGTTAACGTTTCCTCCCAATCTGTTCCCCTCCCTTTAGCGTCAGACAAGTCCTACATGGAAAAGCACCATTGGACATTCCCGTGTGCTTGCCCAACAGTGTCCTCACCCCCAAAAGGCAGCCAGGGCCGACAGCAGAGAAACTTTCACGCTCTCCAAGTCAGGCCAGGTGGGAACTGCTTACCTGGAGCGTCACAAGTAAACAACAGCAAAGCCCCCTTAGCAGCAAACAAGCCCTGCCATGCACGGTGGGTGTAGTTTATCACCTGGCTGTGTGCCACAGTCGTTCCTCCTTGCCCAGAGGGCCCAGCAGCTGTCACTGTAATCGTCCACACGGCTGTTCCAGTGGCAGGAGGTTTGGTGCAGAACAAGCACCCCAGGCTTAGCAAGCTGAGCCGGACCGAGGTTGAGAGCATATGCACCCCAGAGAAGGCCGAAAGCTGGCAGGTGTACGCGTGAGTGATCAGCCAGCAGCTGATAGGTACACGTTCTGTCCTTGGGGTGCCTACCCAGAAGTTGTAGTTGTAGTTCTGTCCATCTGTCTGGGTCACTGTTGTAGCCACAGTATCTACTTCATTGTTAAATGATTGAAAACTTGACAGCCACTTGATACAGATAATAAGCCAGGCTAATCAACGTGGGTGGTGTCAGAGGCTCCAGAATTGATCATGACCCTTTCAGTCTTGTTCCCAACATTCTGAGACCGTGCATGGAGGCCAAACAGGATTCTGCTCTCTGCTACCTAATTTCCTGGGAACGCCTAATTTCATGGGGCGCCTGGGTGGCTCAGTCGGTTAAGCACCCAACTTTGACTCAGGTCGTGATCTCACGGTTCGTGGGTTCAAGCCCCACATCTGGCTCTGGGCTGACAGCTCAGGGCCTGGAGCCTGCTTCTGATTCTGTATCTCCTTCCCTCTCTGCCCCTCCCCTGCTAACACAAAACGCTCCTGTGGAAAACAAATCTTTTCCTCAGGGAAGACTTCTCCTTTCAGCATGTGTCCTCAGTGGACAGTCTTCCTCTCCCAGTTGCTCCAGACTGGGTGGGCCGCGTCTCCAGGCCCCTCTGGTGGCTCAGGGGTGACGGCACGCTTCCTTTCAAATTGCTAACACAAAGACGGGACGAGGAGGTGAGGGCCTTGAGGTGAAGAAATTTGTCCAGCCACCCAATAAGTCATGGGTAGAGCTAGAATCTGGTTATGTGGACCCATCTAGAGCAATGTTACTGCACACGGCTTCTCCAAGTGACAGCCAGTTGGAGACAAGTTTTCATCCAGTAAAGTGGTTAGAAGTTAGGTACTGTCTGCAGCCACTACAAAGCAACTCCAGGAACAGACGTCCACATCACAGGAGACCAGCTAGGACCTGCCACAGAAACCAGTAAGAGCATGGGGAGTCCAGAGGAAGGAAG